AGGAGAGGTGGAAGTTAAGGAGAGAAAGACAAAGAGAGAGAGAAGAAAGCAAGAACAGAAGGACCCATGTTTTCCATCATTCTAATTTTGATAATTGTAGAGATGTTGTATTCAGTTCATAATACATTTGTAACATTGTCAAAATATGACATATTCTGTTAGTTTATTAACTCAAAGTAAAATCATTTTTGTTTGTTAAATAGTAGTTCACACACATTTTTGTCAACACCGTCAGATATATGTTTTTGAATTTTTAAAAAGAAAATGTTTATTCGTACTTCACTTTCTGGTCTTCATGTAATAAAGACACATCTGATCTACTGACTCTTGTGTCCGATCCCCAGTGAGTCGTGGAGGATGGCTGCTTATACTGAGCCAGGATTCTCTGGAGGTTTCTTCCTGTTAAAAGGGAGTTTTCCTCTCCACTGTCGCTGCATGCTTGCTTAGTATGAGGATTGCTGTATAGTCACTGACACCAGTCAGTGACTCGATGCAATTTGCTGGGTTCCTTATATAAGAAACATTATTTCTGATTGGCTTAATGAACTGTGAATTGGAATGTTTATTATGTGAAGTGCCTTGAGACGACTCTTGCCGCGATTTGGCGCTATATAAATAAACTTGAATAGAATTGAATTATGTCTTACTTATTTAAATAATTGATTTTTAGAACCTTAAAATCAAAGGCAGAGTTTTAAAATAGGTATTTTTAGAGATCCAACTTTTCTTAAAAGTGTAAAATTACAATTACAGTTTATATTGTGAATATTATTACATATACGTGTAACTAAAACCTATTACAATATAGTTTAGACCTTTAGATTGTTGTTGGACTCCATAAATTAAAAGTGCATTCTTTTTAGTGTGTCTGATGGAGTTGACACAAATCGAGTTCTTACTCTAAAAAAGTCAAATTGTTAAAAATATGTTTCTTATTTAGAACCTGCACATTTACATGGCTATATAGCTTAGACTTTACTCTACACAAATAGATCATTAAAATGAATATAGTGTACATTTAAAAAACGATATATTTTAAAACCTGTTTTGTCCCGACTGTCAAGAATGAGTGAACTAAAAGTGTCCCTGGCAGATATAAATAAAGTCAATGAAAATAATAATGCCAGAGGTCTGCTTAAATCTATTATTTTAAATATAGGTCTAAAGATTTGGGGAAGGCCCCACGCTCGTACAATACCCTCCCCGGGGTATTTTTCCTCCTTTTGGTCCTGGGTTGCTCCTACTGTGGCCGGCGTCTCACGCTCTCCCTTTCTCTCTCTCTCTCTCTCTCTCTGGAAGCTGGTGGTTCTCCTCGAGGAAAGATCTCCGTGTCGGTGTAAAATCCAAGTTTCTGGTTCTCTCGGTTTTCCTTCTGGTTGTGGCAAAAGGCGATCTCAGGTTTTCCCCGTTTTGTCTCTCGTCTCTTATCTCTGCACTCCCCGTGTCATTCCTCTGCTGCTCGTCTCGTGTGCTCGATCATGCTCGATCTCTGGTTGCTCTTCTCCACGACTCTCTACACAACTCTCCCCAACTCTCTCTGCAACTCCAACTCTCCTCTGCTTCTGGATCGCGTCTCTTCTTCCTTTGTAAGGAGTCTTGATGAGCCCTGATTATCCGCAGCTGGTGTCAGCGGGCCGGCGGGAAGGGTGCGTCTCAGCGTGCCTCTCTCCATGGTGCTGATCCTCTGTCTAAGCGGGGCCGGAGCGAGGAGCTGTCCATGGTGCGGTGGTTTAAAACGGAGCTCAGGAACACAGAGGTCATGACACCTCCCTCCTAAAAAGAAAAAGAGGCCGGACTTAACATCAATAAAATCATGAGGCCTCTTTTGAACTAAAAACAATAAATGACCGGCTGAGTTCCGAGTCTGGGCAATGGATCTGTCTTTCTGTGTACTTCTACAACTGCGGAGCAGGGAGCTGTACAAGGTGATTCCCGCTATCTGCCTAACAAAAACTGGCTAACTGTCCTGATCTTCATGGGGTGCAAAGGCGGGCAGATTAAGCACATGTGGTGAACACATACTAACCAGCAACAAGGAAGGGTGGCCCACTGACAAGCCCGTCCCTCCTCATCCTGGGGTGCTCCCGAGATGGTAGGATATACCAACACTAACCTTTATGACCCCAACACTAACAAAACAAAACAGGCAATACCCTAAAGGGGATATTCCTCTAAAAGCTACCAGGGAACCACAATGCACATACTGTAAAACCAGACAATGCCACAAAACTCTAAAACTCCAACTCCTATCAGGATAAACACACTAAAAGGCCCGAGACAGACCATCTGCCACTATGTTGTCTTTGCCTTGTTTGTGCTGAATTTGTAAATTATAATCTTGCACCAGTAGTGCCCATCTCATCAGCTGCTGTTTTTTATTGTACATCCGTGACAGGAAGACCCGAGGGTTGTGATCTGTGTCTACCCTTATGGGATTGCATCCAGGCTAGAGGTAAACTTCAAAATGTTGGATAGCCAGTGTAGATAAACAGTGTTGGGTAAGTTACTTCAAAACTGTAATGCATTATTTATTTCTTGTTACCCTCATTTTAAAGTAATTCATTACATTACAATATTACTGATTTTAAAATGTAAGGCATTACACTACTTTTGCATTACTTTAAGTTACTTTCACCAAAACAACTTCTGTATGAATCTGGTCATGTGACGCTCAGTGAGCTCATGACATATATGTGGAAAGTGATGTGGTGTCTGAGCTAGGATTGCTGTTAGAAACAGTCAGATATCATAACAGTGCTTTATGCGCTCCAGCAGCAATGAGTTGAAATCACCGGGCGAGGGCACAGATTATGAACTCAGCTGAGGCAAAGCACATCAGGAAAGTACAGAAAGTACAGAGAATATGGGCTGATATGAACGATCGCAAGTGAATGACTTTGTTTTGGTGGAGCGGTTTTGTGAATATAACAGCGGCCGCGTGCAGGACGCAGCTGGAGCATTTGAGCCGTCACCGCTGCGTCCTCTCTGCTCATAGAATGCCCGCAAAGCTGAGTCCATAAATGACGTCATATATGTGGATACTGGATCTTTATTTTGGGCTTTCCGCAATTTGAATTTTTAGGAAACCCACATCTTGATTCTGGGTTTAAAAATGCATTGTAATTACCGCGTTACTGACAATTGTACCGAGTAAATATTACCGTTTTCTTTCCCTGTAATGCCTTACATTACCACATTACAGCAAATAGCAATGCATTACAGTAATTGATTACTTTTGTACCGCATTACTCCCAACACTGGTACTAAAGCTAAGGTTTCTTTCTCAACTGTGGAATAATGTAACTGGTACTTAGCAACAGGGCTGTGCAGAGACCTTTGAAGGGGCGGGTGCTTAAATTTAAAAAGGGGCACACAGAATAATATTTTCAAACACCATGACATAACCACAGTATACCTGGCTGAATAACAAATCATATTTATTAGAAATTCAAAATGGAAGCAAATCATTATATACACCACATCTTATGCTGCTAAATGGGCAGCTTTCCAGAACTGGTGCGCAGAACGGAATGTTCAAGCGCTCTCCTGCCAGCTGGCGGATGTCCTATCGTTTTTGCAGATGCTGATGGACAGGGGCCTCGCATTCAGCTCTATTAAAACATATGCTGCAGCTATCTCATCCTGTCACCAGGGTTTTGGAAATAGATCTGTTTTCAATCATCCCCTCACAAAACGTTTTCTAAAAGGTGTCAGAAGGAACGGACCTGTGTCCCGCCTGCTTTTTCCCCAGTGGGACCTAACGGTGGTTCTGTGCGGCTCACCTGAAGCCCCATTTGAACCCTTGGACCAGGTCTCACTCAAGTTCCTGTCACTCAAAACTGCCTTGCTGCTGGCGCTGGCATCAGTCAAGAGAGTGAGCGACCAAACCGCCCTCTCAGTGGCTCCCGCATGCCTCAGGATCCAGGAAGATGGCGGGTCTGCTGTTTTATGCCCCAACCCAGCCTTTGTGCCCAAAAGCATTAATGCTTCCTTCAAATCCAGGTCAGTTTCATTGGCTGGACTTTTTCCTCCTCCCCATAATTCTGATGAGGCGGCGGCGTCCCACCTTCTCTGCCCGGTGCGCGCGCTCGCACAATATGTGTCACGCACTTCAGGGATTCGCCGCTCACAAATCATGTTTGTGCACTACAGAGATTCTTCCCTTGGGCAAGCGCTGTTGGCCCAGCGCCTTTCACACTGGCTATGTGATGCCATTTCACTCGCTAACACATCATCAGGGAGGGATCCTCCTGAGACACTCAGGGCTCACTCAGCCAGAGGGATTTCCTCTTCTATGGCGCCCCACAGTGGTGTGTCGATGGAAGACATTTGTCAGGCTGCTTCATGGGCTTCACCCTGTTTCTTTACTCGTTATTATTTACGAGATGTGTCTTCAGGATCCATCACTTGTTCAGTGCTTGGACCTCAGCAGGCTGAGTGAAAGCATTATGGCACCACTTCAGCCTTACTTGAATGAATTTCATCCTCATGTGGATGATATTTTTAGTGGGGGCCCCACTCTTTTCTCTGGCAGCCTCAGCCTTTTAAGCCCTGGGCTGAGGCTGAGCGACCCTCGCTAAAAGGAGGCACGTTGGATGTGTCCATTGGTTGAGCTAACCAGTGTGGCGTAAACCCATCCAGCTGCGCATTATTCCAATAGCAGCTAGCTTAAGGGCTAAGACTAGACGAAATAGAACGTTGGTTACGTATTGTAACCCCAGATTCTATGAGTCTAGGCGCAGCCCTTAAGCCACTGGCCCCACTGGTTCTGTTAAGACTAAGAGCCATCGGAGGCGAACAGAGGAGTCGCTGCACTTATATACCCACAGGGGTGCCCACCATTGGTGGGCGTACATTTAAGCTCTTCATGATTGGCTGATGCTGAGATCATCCTTCCAATGGCAGCTAGCTTAAGGGCTGCGACTAGACTCATAGAATCTGGGGTTACAATAAGTAACCGACGCTCCTGATGCTCAAAAAACGAAGCCAGGTAATTTTCCTGGAAAAGTTCAGGGCTAGAGCTGATAGAAGCCTGAGGATCTTGGTGAACTTTGAAGTTTCAGTCTTGGTGAGTCTGAAATTCCTCGTTTTGAAATTAAACTCACCAGAGAGTTTTCATCTTCTTTTATGTGTAAAGGCAGGCTGAGCAGGAAGCTGCTCCGAGTTTGAACCAGGTCACACTCCAAGCACCGCAGCTGCGTCTCCACTGAGATCTTGTACAGATTCTCAATTTCAAGAGCCTGAAAGAGAAACGTTTTATTGTTTGGTATGTTATGGTATTGTTGCAGCTTCCTAATAGGAAAAATATTGACAAAGACTCAATAAATAAAGGAATAAATGAAAAAGAAAAACCATCTGAGAACACCAACCAGAACTCTGTCGTCCATCTTCTGCCGAACTAAGCCCAGAATGGAGAGGAAAATCTCATCTGCGTCGTGCTGAATGTTTACTGCAACACAAGGCTGTCAGAAGCTGCAATCAATCAGAAAAGTTTGCTTAGTAAAGTTTTTTTGTTTTTACATCTGATGGAGTTTCTGTCCAGGCAGTGGAGGAAGTTGCGATGTGGAGCAGGTTGAGTTGCGTCGCTCTGCGTGGCCGTGAGTACTTTCTTCAGCTGCAGGGGGATGTTACAATCATCTGCTCCTGAACCAGCCACTTGCCTCCTGGTCAAATTCACAAACACAGTTTTCTCTTCAGCACCTGACATGCAATCATTTATTTCCAGGTGGAAAATATTATGAATCTGCTACACCTGAAAGCGATTTTAATATTGTGTGTTTTTATTATTATTAGTTTAGTTTATTTCAAACAAAGAAAACATACATAATTTTTTTTTAAAATACCACAAACAGAAAAAATACATATCATCCCTTCTTCTGTGTTTGAAAAGGAGTAGGCTGAAGTGGAAACTTATATATCCCTACTCCTTCATACAAGTAATTTTACTTGTTTACTAAATCTAACACAAAACCTACATTAAAACAAACAAAATGGTACAAGTCACCAAAAACCACCAAATTATGTGAAAAAAAACAAAAGAAAAAAAACATCTTTTTACAATTGATACAATTTACTTTTCCTTAGAATAAAGGACACCCACATAAATCATCTATTTTCCACTATATACTTGTTCAGAATATGTTTTTTATAATTCATTTTAAACACATTTATATATGTACTTACTTTGATTTCTTCTTCTAAATTGTTCCATAATTTAACCCCTATTATTGTGATACACATCTGTTTTAATGTTGTTCTAAACTTATGTATCTTTAAGTTTAGTGTCCCTCTCAGGTTATATCCTCCTTCTCTCTCTGTGAACAGTTTCTGTATTTTATCAGGCATTAATTTATTTCTTACTTTATACATTATTTGTGCTGTTTTGTATTTAACCAAGTCCTGGAACTTCATTGTCCGTGTTTTAATAAAAAGTTCATTTGTGTGATCCAAATATCCTGCATTTGTTATTAATCTGATAGCCCTTTTCCTGCATTGCCGTCATTGTTTGTAAATGACTTTTGTACGTGTTTCCCCAGACCTCTACACAATAGCTCAAATATGGCAGTAGCATCGTATTGTATAACATATAAAGTGCTTTCTGATTAAAAATATACTTAGCTTTCCCCAATATAGCAATGCCCCGTGCAAGCTTCCCCCTAACATATTTGATGTGTGGCTTCCAACAGATTCTGCTGTCTATGGCCACCCCAAGAAATGTTATTTCATATACTCTCTCAATTTTTACATTATTAATTACTATATCTAATATCACGGTGTCGAACACTCAATCAATACATTTGCGGTGGTCTCTAGTAGTATTACTCTGAGAAACATCACATGGACTGAACCCTTTTAACCCACAAGTCTTTATTCTGACAGCATTTTCTCCACCGTGCTCATCTACCTGCCGTGCTCACTGACGCTTCTGTTTGGGTGGTCCGTGTGCATGCTCTGGACCTGCGTTAAAGTCCCGCCTCCTAGTTTGACAGCAACAGGCAGCTTTCTCCACGCAGTTTATGCAAGATTGAAACTCGAAATGCGAGACTGCCAATAATGCGGTGCATAAGTCTCAATTTGCTAGATGTGTGAAAAGTAATGGTAACGCTATCTGCACAAAGCGGGACGTCTGGTCACCCTAATGATGCGAACGTGGGTGACGTGTGGATCAAGGGTGCAAAAGGGGCTTGATCCACTTCTGCACTTGAGAATCGGGACACCCTATGCACTGGGAGGGCGAGTATTGGGACTGGGCCTCAGACAGCAGATTTTTGCGTTTTATTTCCTGATATTTGGACATCTCGCCTCAGACTAGATAACAGCAACACAACTCTACCACTGACTCTGTTTACTTTGCAAGGCTGATGTTTTATCTCCACAAATAAGACAAGCCTTGAAGAGTTTTTCTGTGTGGTGTTGTTGCTAATGCTAACAGCTAGCTTCTACTGGTTGAGAAGTCCTCTGCTGTTTCCTGGACGTTAAACCAACAACAACCTTCCCCGTTGTGAGTCAAGATGGGCGAGTCCATAAACGTAGGTGACAGCGTGACGTAGATCTGTCAGCATTTTCAAATTCTAGAGTTTCACCGTCTATTTTATGTCAGAACCTAACGCAGGTGGAGGAGACTGTTTTCATGTTCAGCCTGCATGAAAACCTTAGAGACCGATTATAATCAGAAATAATCATTCAAATGTTTTTCAGTATTCCACACCTTCAGATGCATTTTAAGGATTAGATTACTCAATGTGCTTACTTTTCTAGAATCACTGCTAGTTCCCAGGTAACAACAAGAGTTTGCAGCATAGAGTTCACACAGCAGGACAGACGGTAGTTAGTTAGGCCTCTCATTCCTGTAACAGACCAACAGGACACGTTTACAATGATGACTTCATTTATTAAGAGACAAAAACTACCCCCAAGCATAATACCTGGTTGTAGCACCCCTGGTGATAATGTGGTGGTAAACCTTAACCCTGAAGCAGACCCAGTGCAGACCATCACACCACCACCACCATGTCTGACTGCTGCTGTGAATCACGACCTCTGACCTTAACCTTAATCAAGTGAGGGCCCACAGACTCAGGCATTCTGATAATTGTTCTTCAGCGTGGAACCTCATGTTGTCAGACAGGTTCTAGTGATGTCACACTTGTACAGGTCTGGATGCAATCAGATCCAGTTGTGACAAGTGAAACAAAACCTGGCCTTCCGAAATGTGTTAATAATCACGTGGCTATTTGTGGTTAGCAAGAGCCAGGTTAGTTTGAATAGCTTTATTTCTTTCATAAAAAAATCACAATTTTGAAAACTACAATTTGTATTCACTAAAGTTATTTCAAGGAGCGAACACTTTCCAAAAACAAATATTACTACATAAAACATATTTTTAATTTTAAACTAGAAAAAAACCACTACATCATCTATTTTTATCGATTGCAAAATAAGCCTGATATTGGTGATGGCTCACTGTTTTTTTCTATAACATATCCAATTTTAAATAATAACTGATTTATTTAAGAATGCAGAAAGTAACTAGAGTTCAGAGTGAAATTGACAAAACCGTCTGTAATAACTTACAGAACCTGGTTCCTGCATAAAAAAATAGTAAACAGATGAAATAAAGCTTCCAAGAGGATTTACTTACTGAGCTGTATGTGTCTCAGAGATGCCCACCGCGGTGACAGATACCCACAGAACATCTGGGAAGAGTTCGAGAAGATCAGTTGATCCACACCTGATGTTCTTGGTTCAGATCAGATGAGCACCTGGGCTACAGCTGATTCAACAGTAAACATCCTCCCATCTGCCTAGCTTTCGTTTCTGTTCGCTTTACTGAAATCGAAACCCAACATCAACTAGCCATATCATTATGACCACAGAACAACCCTCTTAAAATGATTCGAGGAAGAGAAAAACAAGCAAAAATTATAACATGAAGCCTAGATAAATGTTATATATATATATATATATATATATATATATATATATATATATATATCACATTCTACTAGTAAATAATTAAAAGTACATATATTCGGGACTCTTATTGTGAAGGACTGGCGGGAGTTGACTTCTGCTTTGGTCGCTAATTGAGCAGCAGGGCAGTTTAAATCTTTGATTGTAGTCAATTAAAGTATTTTAATAATAAGTTTATTTCACTTAAAAAACACACAAGCCTTCGTTTGAAGCGAGAGCTTCAAAATATGGTGCATATTTGTCCGCATTGGTTTGATCAGTTGAAGAAGTTTAGAAATGAAGGTGGATGAACTCAGGGGAAAACAATTTATTTCTAACCAATTTCTTGTTAAGCATTCAATTGCTTGTAGTCGGTCATTTAATATACACGTCGTTCAAGTATATATAAAAGGGCTGAGTACCATTATAAACAAAGAGAATATTTATACTCTGTTTATAATTAATTGATATGTGTGTTATTGGTCATCTGGACGGAAACAGGATAACTCAATTTTTGGAAGTTATTTTGTTGTTACTACAGCCTTCACAAAGCAGACTCATCAAAATAAAACATACCACGTTACTACACAGCTAGCGTTAGCCTGGTTCATGCTTCTCCGTCAGCTCCGCAAGGGACAGACACGCACGGATTGACGGAAGCGTTTTGCTCTCATACTTCTCCGTCACCTGGAGAGTGTTGCAAAGCAATTGCCCGACAGGACAACAGAGGGCGTAGCGCTGTTCTGTGGTATCCTGTCATGTATCTGGTCCAAGATAGTGTGTTTATATTGTGTTTTTTATGTATATAAGAGACTTTTAAAGAGCGGGTCAATTGAGCCTCGGAGTCCTTCTCCACCCACGTATCAATTTTAAAAAATGCAACATTAGTAGGCGTTGCCTGGAGGACCGAGTGGGCGGAGCCGCGGCAGTGACGAAGACGATGGCTAACTAGACGAAGCTAGCTCCCTTCACTCTGAGCGGTCATTAGAAGTGGAGGACGTTTCTCCCCCTCTTTACACAGACACTCGAGAAGAAAGGGACCAAGTCTATTTGGAGGAGACAAGCGGACCTGAGTCTTATTGTTTTGAGCTTGTGAGTTGCCTGAAACTCCCAGAACCGACCCAACAGAATCACCTCTGAAAGGTAAGTAGCCGTTAGCCATAGCATTGGATTAGCTGCAGGGTTTGTCTCCACAGCCCTAAAAAGCTAGTATTCAGCATGTTTTAGAGGTTTATCTGCTTCAGCACACCTGGTTTTAATCAGCAACAAATAGCTGAGCTGCTTAACAGCTAATCTAACCTGTTAAAGCAGGAAAATCCACTGAAACATGCTGGATAGCAGCTCTCCGGTAGCTCTGGGCTCAAGTTACAGTCTGCTGCATATAGTTATGAAAATACCCCATGAGAAAATTATTCTGTAATGTGTTCAGCCCACTAAAACTGCCCTGATTTCTTTATTTATTTACTAATAACAGCTGCTCTCTCGGTTCTAGGTCCTCTGGTGTCTGCAGCTGGCCTCTGGTGTCTGCAGGTGGTCTCCTCTGCTGGTGCCATCAGGATCAGGAGCTTCCAGAAGAATGTGCCTTTCAATGACTCTTTCCCCCTTATTTGTTATATTAATTAAATAAATCTCAATTTATATATTTCCTGTTTTTGTTCATGTCCATAAATACTTAAACATGCTTGAAATTAAAACGAGCTTTTAACAGCGAGGTGCTAGTTTAATTAATCACAATAGCTAGTTAAACATGCAACAAAAATGTGATAATCAATGTAATTTATAAATATCCATTAAAATATCAAAACTGGAATCTAAATGAGATATTTGGCAGCACAAAAAACTTGTCAAACACAATATTTATTATAATAATTGTAGGCAGACAGGAGACAGAGCTGATGGAGGTTCTCAGTCATCAAAGGATGGCTGAAGGCTTTCCAGGAACAGGAGATGTGGTGTTGTCTCTTCTCTCTCTATTCTGCCAGATGAGCTGATAGGTTACAGGTGTGTGAGGACATCCTCATGCTGTCATAACCAGATGACAGGAGTTATCAGGTGATCAGCCAGGCTAATGAGATGCAGAAAGAAAACAAATTCAGGACAGTGTACAATAATATGTGGTGTTGCTCACCTTATGTGCTCTTATAGAATATTAATGTGTGCATGCCTCATGGTGTAGAGTCCATATTTTGCTGAGTGGCCTGCAATAATGCAGGTTATTAGTTAATTTACTTTTGATAGCAAAAACAAAATATTTAATGTAAAAGTTGTTTTCCAGGTGAATCAGCTCACACGTCACCACCAAGTGTCACAGGGGCAGAATCAGTAGCCCCCGTCATGATGTAATCACATACTTATTTAATTGTTAATATCTTAAAAAATCTGAAATGTTTTAATTTTTATTTATTACCTTGAACAGTTCACTGAGCTTGCACTGTCACTGAGGTGGAAGCTGGAATCAACAGCAGACACCTTACATCTTGGTCTTTTCAGGGGGTCTGGACGCTCTGGGACTTTCTGGAAGATGAATTTTCATCATGGTCACCGTGGGTCACCAGACACACTGCGGCTGTGAACTCCATTCTGACTGGCTATGTAAAAACAAAGAAGCAGCACATTTATAAATGTTTAAAAGAGCATAAAATCACGTATAACAATAATCTGTAAAACAAATTAAAACTAGAAGGTGATAATAAAATGTTTACATAGAAGATTATTAAAAATAATTCACCTTTGCTACAGGGAAGGTTTCACATCAGCCTGGACAAGTGCATTCTTGCAGCTAAATCAGTCTGACAACCAGTGTCTTGGGTAGATTTAGCCTGAAAAAAAATAGAAGCACATTGTTGTTGGAGTTTATAAAGTCAGATAATATACAAAAGAATCTCCTATATAGGCGCTTTATAACATTCCTAGTGTGTGATCGTTGTTATAACGTAAAAGTCAGTCACACATGATGTGGAGAGCCTGAAATGTGACCTCCTGAACAGAATTCCTCACAGAAGCGGGTCACCAGCTGGATTTCACGCTGTAATGCTGTCTGTCAACTGCTGCGTCAGTTAGAGCCACTGTTGCAGAATTGCCAACTGACTAGCTAAAGGAAGTGAACCACGTCTCTCAGACTTTGCATTTAGGTAGGGAATTGTCTTTAGAAGATGTTAAAACGTTTATTTAGCTTACTCACCTCAGACTGGAGCCCGCCGTGGTGGGGGAGCAGAGTCGGTGGGCTGCATCTAAATCGCGGAAGAGCCACGGTGGGCAGCCTCCCTCTTCAAACGGAGACGTGCAGAATCGCGGGTAAAATGCCCACAGAGTCACCGCAAGCATACTACATTACACCATCTCACCAATACTAAGACGATATGAACACTAAAACCGAAATACTTTCCCAATTACGCTAACAGCCAAACACTAACTAAACTACAATATCCAACAGCCAAGCTAACACTAAATAAGTATTTATAACACTAAAAGATATGCTAAAGACTAGGATATGCTAATGCTATATGCTAATGCTGAACTACCGCTGCCCTCCTAAGCTCGCTTGCAAATCCAACTCCCACGCGCCACAGGGCGTGGCCGAGACGCCCGTTGCTTTTATAACTTTGGCACGGAGCTGCTACGTAGTACTCTACTGGTTTACGTAGTACTTTACTCTTTAGCCATTGGCTAAAATTTATTCAAAATGACTCAAATTCTATGTTTTCAGCTGAAGGTGGCGCATTACTGTGGTTTTTAGACAGAATTTTTAATTTTTAAAGAAAATGAACCAAAATGCTAAAATAAAGAATGCACACATTTAAAACACAATTAGACACTCATTTATACAGTTCATCAGCAAAAAAAAGTTAATTTAGACGTTACTTGCTCTTTAACACGGACATATCTCTCATTCTCCCACCTCTTCATGCGCTCCCCACCTCTAAACCCACGTTTTCTGTCATTTCCGTCCACAAATAAAACGCTTGCTGCGCATCTTTTCACTCCTCCAGTCACGGGAGAATTAAACGTTCATGTTTTAAGAGTTTTTTTCGCGAGGTATTCTTCAAGCTTCTCCGTGTCTGCCGCTAGTTATCCTCGGCTCTCAATGGCGGCGCTGTAAACAACAGCGGCGTCCTGACCAATCACAAGCTTGCGTTGTCCGTCTCGTTCGACGGATGTTTAAAAAAGTGGGCTCGACTCCGTACGTACTTGCGTGCCTGCCGGAGCCCTACGCAAGGACGGATAATGGCGTTGCGTGTGCTCCGCACTGACGCAGACGAATAAATCAGTAACGCGCATGCGTGGGGTGGGCGTGGCCTCCGGCGTCTGCGTCATTACGTTTGAAGCGCAGTTCCCTTTGATGACGTCATCAAAGGCAAAAGTGACGCCTTGTTCTGACAACATTCGACCAGAACCCAGATCATTACAGATCTTCATAGATCATAACCGCTTTCACTTATTCACCAAAATCAGACACGTCTGATCCGAATAACAGCACCACAAAGGATAAACGGGAGGTCATTAAACAACTTGAATCTAAACTTACTTCATTTGAATCAAAGATGCAAAGTCACAAAGACGTCGAAACCCTAACTGATGAAACCTTTGAAGAAAAATGTAGCCAGAAACAAAAAATACTGAAGGAAACCATCCGTTTTCTGGAAGATGAGTTAAAAATGTGTGTTCATGTTCAGGAGTGCATGGAGGCTCTGCTCTGTGAAAGTGAACGACATCTAAAACATGTTACGTCTCTAATAGAAGATCCCAGTTTTTGTAAGTCTGAATCACTAGCCCGAAAATTTATGGACATTCAAGAGCTTACAGCAAAACTAAGTTTATTAAAGGACAGTTTTAAAAAATATGATCAGCTCATTGAGAATTTACAGAAAAGTAAAATCTCAATCGCTCAGATAATTCAGAAGCTCACAACTGAGCTGACTTTTATGGATTTAAAAGATGAAATCTTGGATAAACCAGTTGTAAGTTCACTAAAATGTTTAGAAGTCATGAAGATTTCAGATTTAATGATGTCACTGGTTTCATTAGAGTTACAGCTGGAAAAGAAACATCAGCAGCTCGAACATTTAAAGGTAAGTCTTCATTCAAAGCATGAGGAAATTGAAAAAGTCAGAGTTAAAGTGAGTTCAATACTGTGTAAAGTTACTGAAAATGCACAGGACAGTCCACCGCCACAAACATCTAGTTTCCTGGGAAGAGCAACCAAATACGTCTGTGCTGGTCTTGCCGTCTCTGCATTAGTAGGTGTGGGTGTTTTCGTACTGTCCAAAAGAAAATAGTTCAACTGCTGTCACCCCTGATTGAAGTCTTGCTCCATCCAAACGTCCTGTCTCAAAGAGAAGTGACTGAGAGACCAACACAGCATTGTTCATGCACAGCGTGCTTTCGTACGCTTTTTGGCTTAAACCAGGGGTGAGGAACCCTGGTCCATCGAGGGCCGCATCAAGCCCATTTTAGTTTCAACCCTCAACACACCTGATTAGAATCAGCACGTGATTAACAGGCTTCTGCAGAGGTTGATGGGCTGCTGAACAGGTGAATCCACATGCAGGACAGCGGCCCTCGGGTCTCACACGCCTGACTTCAACCTTGGTCGGAGGTATTTAGGTTCAATGTTATTTGGCTTTCCGCAACATGACGGGAGCTAAGCTGTAGGTTTTAGGGTTCATACAGTTTGAAATGCTTCTTTACTTGTATCTAATACTGGTTCACACTGCGCAACTTCTGAAATTATTCTGCGATTACCGCAGATGGAGCGTCAACACGCTTAGTTATTCAAGACATGGTGGCAACCTGTCTATCTGTTAGTTTATCGATTTATATAGGAATCAGGAATCCTGGAGACTCCGACATATTTATTACAAGCATTTCACAGCAACCAGCGTTCACCCGCACAAATGTTACATCAAAACGACCGGCTCGGCCGTGGGATGTGTGGTTTCCCATAAATTCAAAATATCGAAGACGAAATGACTTCATTAATGGGAAATCTTCAAAACAGTGATGAACGCCTTGAATATTTACAGAAAAGTAAAAGGTTACTTGATAGGAAAATTGAACACCAGACAGCTGAACTGAAGTCATTAGAGTTAAAAGTTAAAAAACAAGAAGAGCAGAAAGGAAATTTACCAGAAAAGAATGATTTAAGCATCAAGAAAATCCAGGTGTCACGTTTAGGAGAGGAGGTTGGACCCAGGATGCAAAAGCACCCAGAACGACTCAAAGGCAGGAGAGGTCTTAAGAAAAACAACTCCTTTATTTAAGGCGGATGTGCTGAAAAGTCCAAAGCACAAAATAAGACTAATACTCAAACTTGAAAAAACTCAAAATTAACTAAGCTCAGACATGAGCAGGGACTCGGAGAGACTTGAGAGGGGAACGAACAACACACACACACATAAGACAATGACCCAACAAACACTGAAGGACAAGCCAGACTTTAAACACAGTGGAAAACAATTAGGGAAACAGGTGAAATCAATTAACTACATGGGGAGGGAAAACCAAGCAGAGGGGAAGATAACATAACCTATAAAAACACTACATAACTAAACCTAGAAACTAAGGGCCAAGATAAACAACTAATGACAAGAGAAGCAAGTGTAACTCAGGTTATCTTCCAGGGTTATTGAGCCTAAATTCCTTTAAAAAATTCTCCATCGTTAGGAACCGTTTTTCGGTAGTATAAAAAATTACGAGGGTTACTTGAACGCAGCATGGAGCCGAGCTGCGCAGCCCTCCCCACACCGGAGAAAAAAACGTTTTTGTCCGTTAGGCTGAACAGGTGCAGAGGTTCAGCTAACTGTTGTCAGCGAAGTAATAGGTGACTGGAAGAGTTTTACAGTTGAAATGCTGGCGATTTATTTTTGTTTGGATTGGATTGAGCAACATAGATTTAGAAATTGTATAATATGTACGGATTCTTTATCAGTTTTGCTGGCACTTCATTCAAGAAGTAATGGAAATAGAGTTGATATTTTTCTAGAAATATTTGAATGCCTATTTTGGTTGTGTGCCTTAGGGATTGAAATAAGATTTATGTGGGTACCGGCGCAGGGGGATAGAAGGTAATGAATTAGCAGATTATTACGCAAAACAAGCAGTAAAGTTAGAAGTAGTGAAACCGATCCCTTTTAGCAGTAACGAAGTGAAGTCAATGATTAAGGATAGAATTATGAATGAATGGCAGGACATGTGGGTAAGGGATAAAAAGGGCCGACATTTATTTAATATACAGAACGTAGGTAAACGGTCGTTTAAGGAGGTACATAATAGGGAACAAACAATAATAACGAGATTGAGATTAGGACATTCGGGATTGAACAGCACTTTGCATATTTTGGGAAAACATCAAACAGGTTTTTGTGATTGTGGGACAGAACAGGAAACGGTAGAACATGTTTTGTGTTTTTGTAGTAAGTTTGATGTAATTAGGGGTGAAGTTATAGATAGGTTGAAAGATAAAGGATGTGGCATTTGGAATTTGAGAACGTTGTTGAATGGCAGTGGGTCCAATTATAAGTTGGTGCTAGAGTTTCTTAGGAAAATTAAGGTATTTAGTAGAATTTAGTTTTTTATTATTTTTCTATATATATATATATATATATGTATATATATATATATATTTTTTTTTTTTTTTCTCTCCTCGCTCTGACTCACACTCCTGCACAGTAGGTGGCGGTAATTCACCTTAAGTTGGTTGCCACCCGCCATTTAACCGGAAAGGAAGAAGAAGAAGGTGACTGGAAGCTTCTAGAAATGTAAGGTTCATCACTTAAAAAGTGTTTAAGATTATTTGTGAGAAGTTTTTATTGAAACAAAAGTGTTTTATGATTATAGAGTGTGTTCGCTACTGAAGGAGGAGCCGTTAGAAGTAGACCTCGATTTGTTTTTTGAGGAAACCCTTTGGTGAGTTAATCTAATGTTTCATGGACTGAATGTATATGTAGATGTGAAACAAAGTAGAAAAAAATGTTGATGTAAGCTATGCTAAGCTATGTTCTGTGAAATATATGTATGTTTTTGAGCATTTGTGACGGTCTCGTGTAGCCACATTTTTAAGCCACCCGGCTAGCTGTTAGCTCAGTTTCTGTGAGTAGATGTGTTAAACTGTTGAGAAAATGAATTGTACACAAATTTCCTGTGAAGATAAGGTGATTTGTTTTGCTTTTATATTTATTTTGTTAATGAAATCTACTTTTCCAAGTATAGTTATTTTGTGAGTTTGGAAGATAATAGAAAAAAGACTGACATTATTATAATTTTGTTGCATATGTTTTATGCAGGCTTGTTGATTGAGGTTTAAATCACCTTTTCCTGCCTGGAAAGCCAACACATTTAAAGACTCAGATGCACTGCTTTGGTCCACTGGAGAGGTATTAATACTCATGGGTGCCACATCCATGGCAGGATGTCTTCATCATATCCTGTCTCATCAAAGATGTGGTAGGATCATTTAAGACCTCTACACGATTCAAAGGACTAAGGTTTTTTTTCCCTTCCTGAGTGAGGGTTTGGACAGTTTTTTTTGGCAACTTTCCAACATTTTAGTGGACTGAATTATCAATTTGCCCAAAAGCAAGAAGAATGTGTGACATAGTCCTGAACACTTTGTTAAAGGACAATTGGTTTTCTTTCTTTCTTTCTTTATTTATTTTCTATTTATTGATTGTTCAATTTTTATCGTTCCTCTAAGAGCCCTCTAGGAGAGGGAATTTAGCATTTATTTCCTTTATGATGAATATTACAAACTGTTACATACTTCAATATATTTAATTTATTGAATTGATTGTTGTGTGTGTGGTTTGTGGGTTGGAGGTTTCAAACTTCAGGTAATGAGATACTACTGCTAAGAACCCAGAAATGGAGTTCAAAGGAACAAAAAGCAAGAAACCTTAGTAAATAAGACACATTTGATCCTGTAGCTCCCACAACACTTCAACCTTGAAGAAGTATTCCACGCTGATATATTTGAATACACATACTCAGTTTTTCAGGGAGCCACAGGTTACAAAAGGAAGACTAATTAACAAGTGGGGAAGGACACAAACACTAAAGGAAACTAAAAATGAAAAGCTGAACCTATAGAAAATAAAACTACCTGGTTACTCCACATATGTATTTCATGAGCATGTTTTAACTCAGAATTACCACTGAAGGACTTAGTTGTTTGTCCTTTTATCAAACCTATTTCGAGCCTGAGAGGGTTAAAAGATGAAATCTTAAATAAACCAGGTGGATATTTACTAATTAATTATTTAGATGTCATGAAGTTTTCAGATTTAATGACGTCACTGACTTTATTAAAGTTACAGCTGGAAAAGAAATATCAGCAGCTCGAACATTTAAAGGTAACCCCCAAATTCCACTACCTCCGCTCCGCTCCGACACGAACGCCGGAGCAAAATCAGTCCCGTTGTAGTCAATCAGAGCAATTCCACTACTGCGGCCGTGCTCCGGCAGTGCGGCGCCGTGCGCCACCCTCTGTTCCGGCATCCGGCAAAAATAGAATCAATCCTATTTTTGCCGGACGCCGGAGCACCTCTGCAGTAAATGGACAGAAATCACAACCACCCAACAGGAAAAGGAGCAAGCACAACTTCCGTTTTTCACAATAAATCAATAAACAAAAGGCGTTTTTTGTTTCATATGCACAGGTTTAACAACTTTTAACAACTATCAATGGCGGCTGAAGTTTAAATGCACAAAAGTAAGCCATAAATACAGTTTCTACTATCAAAGTAGTCACACTTTGTTGATCCACACACTGCTGATCTGTCAACACAAATGATGGGCAGATTAAACCGTTCTTGCCGATGTTTCTCCCACAACGGGTGTTTGGATCTAACTTCCGCGTTTATTGCTCGGACTCTATCGCAAGATCTCGAAAGTCCCGCGCATGCTTGTTTGCCCCCCTCAGGTCTCCGCACCGGAGCGGAGCCGTTGTTGAGCGGGTATAGTAAAAATTGAGTTCGGAAGCGAGTGGCTGCGGAAGGCGGGGGCGGACCGGAGTGGAGCGGAGCGGAGGTAGTGGAATTTAGGGGTAAGTCTTCATTCAAAGCATGAGGAAATTGAAAAAGTCAGAGTTAAAGTGAGTTCAATACTGTGTAAAGTTACTGGAAATGCACAGTGTTACGTCCCCGACATGAGATGTTAAAAGTGTGAAGGATGGGGAGAACATAAGAACTGGCGGCGGAGTTTAAAATGGGTTTATTTGTACAAAAGGTATTAAAAAACGAGCAAAACTGATTTCTCAAAAAGGTTAACAGTACAAAGCAAATCATCAACTATAAAACACCTGGTAAAAACTTTTAATAAAAGTTTTACCGCAACGAAGGTGTTTAAAATCCTGAAGTTGATAAAAGTCTAAAAACATTCTACTGACTAAAACACCTGGTAAAAACTTATATTAAAAGCTTTACCACAACGGAAGGCGTTTAAAACCGAGGTCAGTAAAATAGCCACAGACAAAGTTGACCTTAAAACCCAAACACACAAAAGATCCCACTGGATCATCCTCAGTTTCTCATTAAGAGTTAAAAACAACCAAAGTTTAAAACTCAAACAAACAGGGGTTAAAACTACACAAATCCAGGAGGACAGCAGAACCCCTGCACTGCTGCCTCCCAGACTGCTGAAGGCACAGCCTTTTTATACAGGTGATGGCAATCAGTGAAGATTCCTTGCAGCTGTGCTCTTCAGCAGCCCGGGAGAGAGGAGGAGGAGGGGCAGTGTCAGGCTGATTCAACAGAGCTGGGTGATTCTGGCTGCTTCTCTCCACTGGTCAGCCTGGCATCCGTAACACACAGGACAGTCCACCGCCACAAACATCTAGTTTCCTGGGAAGAGCAACCAAATACGTCTGTGCTGGTCTTGCCGTCTCTGCATTAGTAGGTGTGGGTTTTTTCGTACTGTCCAAAAGAAAATAGTTCAACTGCTGTCACCCCTGATTGAAGTCTTGCTCCATCCAAACGTCCTGTCTCAAAGAGAAGTGACTGAGAGACCAACACAGCATTGTTCATGCACAGCGTGCTTTCGTACGCTTTTTGGCTTAAACCAGGGGTGAGGAACCCTGGTCCATCGAGGGCCGCATCAAGCCCATTTTAGTTTCAACCCTCAACACACCTGATTAGAATCAGCACGTGATTAACAGGCTTCTGCAGAGGTTGATGGGCTGCTGAACAGGTGAATCCACATGCAGGACAGCGGCCCTCGGGTCTCACACGCCTGACTTCAACCTTTGTCGGAGGTATTTAGGTTCAATGTTATTTGGCTTTCCGCAACATGACGGGAGCTAAGCTGTAGGTTTTAGGGTTCATACCGTTTGAAATGCTTCTTTACTTGTATCTAATACTGGTTCACACTGCGCAACTTCTGAAATTATTCAGCGATTACCGCAGATGGAGCGTCAACACGCTTAGTTATTCAAGACATGGTGGCAACCTATCTATCAGTTTATCGATTTATATAGGAATCAGGAATCCTGGGGACTCCGACATATTTATTACAAGCATTTCACAGCAACCAGCGTTCACCCGCACAAATGTTACATCAAAACGACCGGCTCGGCCGTGGGATGTGTGGTTTCCCATAAATTCAAAATATCGAAGACGAAATGACTTCATTAATGGGAAATCTTCAAAACAGCGATGAACTCCTTGAATATTTACAGAAAAGTAAAATGTTACTTGATAGGAAAATTGAACACCAGACAGCTGAACTGAAGTCATTAGAGTTAAAAGTTAAAAAACAATTTCATTGAATTTTATCCATTTTTCACCATTGTTTCTTTTGCATTATGCAAATAATTTGGCAGGAATCATAAAAATGTCCAACCGAAATCAGACACAGACTGCTGACCCAGAAGCTGAGAGATTGATTGAAATTTCTTTGATGATAAAATGAAAATAAATTTTAGAAAAACCCAGGAGCACAGGAAGATGGGAATCAACATGTGGCAAAGAAAAAAACAAGTAACAGGTGACAAATTTGGAAAACAAGCTTAAAACCTTTTTTTCAGGGCCCCTAACAACATTCTAACATAGTACGGCTATTAATAAACTGTGGAGGAAAATTAATAAAGTGGTTTTCTCGCATTTGTTTAAATATCTCTGCCAATAACATGTTTTGGACCGTCTCAGCCTCACTGAACCACTGCACTTCTGCACTTCCCTGAATCCTCAATTCATCACACACTCGTGTATTTGAAAACAGAACACTACTGGTGTGAGAGGCTCTCCGCTCAATAATATCAGACAAGAAGAAACAGCCGGCTGCTACCACTTCAACTTTAGGACAAACTACCAGCGTCCCAAAAAGAAAAACACCATTTGAAGTTGTGGAAGACTAAAGATATTTGGCCCTACAAAACGGCGACTGGTGTTCAGCACTTTCTCGTTTACCGTGACAATGTTCCATTCCAGGGAGACATGGTCTATAGGGATAATTATCACGCTGCGAGGATGGTTTGGACCCAAAATGCAGTAACCCAAGATGACACGAGGCAGGAGTTGAAATAAAGTAAAATCCTTTTATTGTAGGATGAAACAAAATAATTCCAAACGGCAGGGAGCCAAAATCCAAAAATCCAGAAAATGAGAACAAAGCTCCCTTAGAGCACAAACTGGGGACGGGACAGGAAGCTCAAACAGAGCACCAAAACAACACAGACAAATACAATGAACCGACAAGACGATGAGAAACAGACAGGGCTTTATAGACTGGGGCATAATGGCAGGCAGATGAGCTGCAGTTGTGTGGGGAGAGAACCAGGGGAAGGCAATAACTAATCAGGGAGGAGGAGAAGGAAGGAGCAGGGGAGGACACCGGACCTGACTGGAGAACATACACACACACACACACACACTAAGCTGAGGAATGACACACACACACACCAAGCTGGGGACAAAGAGGTTGGAGCTACAACAGGAGGGGCTGGGGATGACCTGAAGGGCTACAAACAGAAGACACATAAATGAGACGCAGACAAAGGACACATGAGGGCGCTAAGAGACATAAAAGGGGAGTCTAAGGAGGGATGGAGGACATCAGGAGACACATGGGGAAAGATGCAGACAAAGACCATGACAATAATAGCCGTTGGGAGGGGTGAGAGTTCTGTGTTAGCGTTTAAAAGCTAGCTTGATCTACAGATTTACTAATGCAACTTTAAGTTCGATAGAGGTATAATAAATAAAGAGATTGCTTTAGAAGTGGAAAACATTAAAGTGCCTGCATTGCTGCAGGCCCATTGGAACATGCAGATCACTGAAACATTAAAAGCTGCCCCGGCTGCGGACATCCCATCGCTAAAGTTTTGCGCTGCATTGGGATCTGCAGTCAGAAAAGGGAAAACCCCTTTTTTGTACTTAAGTGACGAAAAAGAGCACTTTTGGCGTCAGTGAGCTAGAGGTGATGAGAAAATGTTGGTCTTATTTAAAATTGCACACATTTAGTTGTATATACTTATATACATATACATATATAAATATATATATATATATATATATATGAGTATGTATATATATATACAAATATATACATATATACATGTACATCGAAATGAAATAGGTTCATGAAGGAAGATTGTAACAGGGCTCAAGTACTCTCAGCATCTCCTGAAACCCGGTGTTGTCTACTACAGAAAATGGTCGCATGTCGACAGCAATAAAAGCAGCTATTGCCCTGTCTATTTCTTTTGCCCTCTTGGAATCACGTGCAAACAGCTGTCTAAATGACTCGGGAAGAGCTTGTTGCATGCTTGGTTGTTGTTTTTCCCTGCTTCCACTTGTCTTTGCATCAGGGTGATGTCGGCGTAAATGTACAGTCATATTTGTTGTGTTCCCGCTGATGTAATTAAGCATTGTGTGGCATCTCCGACTTACTGTAGTAGTTTTGTCCACGACATGCTTACCATCAAGGTCACACTTCACAAGAAAGCCAAAAAAGTTCCAAACTCCAGATCTGAAAGACGGAGGAGGAGGTTCAGTCTCGGGGACCGCTGAGGCAGCTGCCATGACTTGCAATTATGGTGCGGTATGGGGGCCAAAATTAAGACTACTGCCCAGCAGCAGGAGGCTATATAAATTCTTAAGCAAACTACTGACCTGATTAATGATAAGCTGGCGCCGGTAACGGAGAGGCTGGCGCTGATTACTGAGAAATTGCACCTTTACCGGCGTTACTACTAGATACACTAGGGACTAGCAGCCCTCGGCTGGTCATTGACTGGTTCACACACTCCCTCTGCTGTCTATTAGCATGGACAGGCTAGCGTTAGCCTGGACGGGCTGGTGTTAGCATTGGAGAGGCTAGCCATTAGCGTGCCTAGGCATGCCACTAGCTGGATTTCCTACCCCCTCGACGGACCTTAAGCATGGATAGGCTGGCATTAGAATCGGAGAGGCTGTCCATGCTAATAGACAGCAGAGGGAGTGTTTGAACCAGTCAATGACCAGCCGAGGGCTGCTAGTCCCTAGCGTATCTAGTAGTAACGCCGGTAAAGTTGCTACTCCTCAGTAAGCAGCGCCAGCCTCTCAGTTACCGGCGCCAGCTTATCATTAATCAGATCAGTAGTTTGCTTCAGAATTTATATAGCCTCCTGCTGCTGGGCAGCAGTCTTAATTTTGGCCCCCATACCGCGCCATACATGCAATGAGCCTATGCCTACTTCTCATGTCTCGCTATCAAGCATGTGGGCGGCGCTAAGTGGATCCGCGCTCGACAATGCGACCTCAGGCGGAGTAGTCGAACGCAGATCACCCAGATCCACTGATCTCATCTTCAGAAGAAAATTTGATAAAAATAAATTTAAAAATCCTGTATTGTTCGGTACATATGCGTACCGAAAGGTTCCCGACCCCTGGATAAGGGGAATCAATTCATTTGATGGAAATGTTTCAACAATGTCTTTCCCTAATACAAAAAGATGATTGAATTATCCTTGATTTCTTGATGAAAACGCAGCCAAAGTCAAAATGAAGCATGAAAAACTATTAAGAGCATTTCATAAGCTTCCAGGAAAGTCGGGTTACTTGGAAGCAAAGTAAATGAATTTACTTTTTCAGCCAGCAAGTTAACAAATCCAGTCTCTGACAAGGTCATTTGGCAGAAAAACTTCTTTTCTGTGGAAACCAGAACCATCTGTGTGCTGCTACAGACAAGATCTCAAGATTTTCATCCAATAAGATCTCTAAATATCCGAGATACTTGCATAACCAAGCAAAAAAAAACTATGATGAAAGCAATGACATCAATAAAAGAAAAGAAATTCAGAGCATAAGAACAAGAAAATAGATTTTTCTGGGGGTTGCGAGTCAGATGCACATGATGCATTGTCTTCCTATTTATTTCCTTATTTTTTTCCTTTAAATAGCTTTTTTTCCCTCTTTTCTGAGGGGTCTGTATCACCACTCTACAGAACAAGGGTTGTTGCTCCCCCACAGGCACTGAGAGGGCCCCAAGACCCCAATGACTGCTGTAGAACCAACACAGCGAGGCACAACCACGCTCTCCGAGCCTCGTCCCGTTTCTGTGAATGGA